AGAAAAACAATTAGAAAATTCATGAGTTGGAAACTCCATTCATTGTCAAGCCTAATTATAAACTTAATTTCCCATCACACCTTGGCCAGTTATTAGTGTTTGTAGATAAAAACCATGACTTTTCATTTTTTGTTAAATTGTTTGAATTTCTGAGTCTTGAAGGGATGGGGATTCAGCCAAGATTTTATCTAGCGACACTTGTTATGAAGCTCCAAGTGTTACATTAATAGAAACTTGGATTGTTTATGGTTCTCCTAAACCCATGATTTCCCTCTACCTCAGTACTTCCAGATGCATCTTTGTCCAAGTTCCTAAATGAAATTTAACAGACAGTGACTTCTTTGAAGCAAACGACTGTTTTCCTAATGGTGCAGATCAGCTGGAACAAAGGCAGGAGGATCCCCACAAAGGCGGAGAGCTTCTAGTGACAGGGACAAAGCGAGAGTGTGGGCTTTCAGAGGAGGAAACAAAAGATAAAGAATAGAATGGGAAGCTCAATAAGATCCTATAGTGAATTCCTAGTCATCCAAAATAATTGAAAACAGGGAGATTAGCATAAGAATGTGACAGAATTCATAAATCTCCAGTAAGAGAATAGAATAGTGAAGCCCTTAATGTGAAAATGATTTGAAATTTAACATAATCTCTTTGATGATTTGAAGTCTTCAGGGTGCTGCAGCATTTCCTACAATCATAAATATTAATCATCAAGGTGTGGCACTGGAGAAAACAGGAAACTGGAGTCTTCTATTGTCAGACTTCTTTAAAGCCACCAGTATACAGACATTCCTTAGGAAGTTGTGTATCTTTAGAGTTAAGCCATGGAAACCCACTAGGGGTCTGCAAATGGACTAAGGTAGTGTCAATTTTGTGATCACTTTTCATATTTTCTATACTGAACATGGTTGAATCACTTAAACCTGAGCAAGTGTCTGCTAGCACTTTCTGGATCTTTTTCTAAAGCATTTTCAATGAAACTCATGGAGAATGTCTCTAGCAACAAAAGTACAACTTCTAGCAAAATAACTTGAGCATCATGTTTGTTTTATTTGTTTTTTGGGATGCCAGGACTGCTCTACAGACCAGACAGAATTAAACTTAAAGAATGGACATTAAACCAGGCACTGGTGGCTCACTAACTGGCATCCTAGTTACTCAGGAGGCTAAGATCTAAGGAGTGTGGCTCAAAGACAGCTTAGACAAGGAAGTCTGTGATACTCTTATCTCCAATTAATAACCGCCCCCCCCAAAAAAATTCCAGAAGTGTAACTGTGGCTCAAGTGGACAAACATCAGCCTTGAGCAAAACTAAAGCTCAGGGGGAGTGCCCAAGTCCTGAGTATAAGCCCCAGGATGGCACAAAAATAAAAAGGGCTTCATTTAAAAAGAAAGTAAGGAGGAAGGAAGGAAGGAAGGAAGGAAGGAAGGAAGGAAGGAAGGAAGGAAGGAAGGAA